ACATTTTCCGATTGATAAGCGTTATAACAATCACAGTTATAGCTTTCGAAGTTTTATAGCACAGCGATATATAGCGAACTAATAATACAGATAATAATTCAGATTACATAACAATACTGAGCTATATTTACGTTTACATATATAGGTATATGGTTGATTCTTACTCTCGAGAATCTTCTACAACTTTCGAGAATAGGCGGGAGTTTCGCAATACATATGTAACAATATAAGCTATGTATGTCTCTAAATATAAACTTAATCTAAACAACGTTCATATTAAAATAAATATACAACAATAAATTCGTTACACAAGTTATGAAAGAGTGAAACTAATAGTAACCTAAAGATTAAAATCACCAACATAATTTCTTGATTTCTATGCTAGTTATACATATAATTACAGAATTATGGCTTAGATTTCGAATAAAATACTGCATACAACTACATAGAAAATTAAGAAATTAGACCATCTTGATACGATTTAATATTCACAGACGTTTTTTTTTTCATATAATCTATGGAGCTGATCATTCCAGATCACATCTTATTGGTATCAGTCGTTCATTCGAAAAATATAAATACTTAACAGTTTGTGAGATATATGACCTTGAGTTTAGGAGATCCCGGCCATAAACAAGGCCAAGATCACAAAGGAAAAATCAAAGTTGAAATAGTTTTTAAGCGTTTATATCCATCTATGGACCATTCTGTAATAAACTGTTATTGTTGATATCAACTGATACATTCTGGGTTTCCACTTAGTTCTTACACCCAATGAACCGCACTGTATATGCCATTTTTTAAAGTAATTCACATGTTTATTTGTGTCTTGCTGTTGTGTATAATGTGTTTAGTCATTTGAAGTAAACTGAATCAAAATCCATCTGGTAAAATGTGTACTAGTTGGAATGCCACTTTCAGAACTTTCTAACAACAAAACAAAATCCTCACGGTAACCTACTGTTGTGATATATTAACTTTATATTTCCCCCTCATACATATGTCAAAGTTTGTAGAAAATATATGTTATAACATATTAACATGTGTTAAGATATGTTATATAATAATCTAATTACCTCTCAACACTCTTCATCATATGATTTAACCTATTTGATGATCATCCTTACTTAATACAATATATTTAGTAATATTCACCTTGTTATCAGCTTGTATTGTAATTGAATTAACGTCTGCTTTTTGTTCGACTCTTGATAACTTTCACGATTTAAGTGTATAATATAGTAATACCAACACCGTATACGTACTTTATTTAACTAGACAGTAGCTATGTCGTGTATTTATTTTTCTAATACAATACT